GGTCTTTCGGATATGACCTTAAAAATGTAGGACCCGTGTCACGGTAGGCGCTGGCACGATAAAGAACCCTCACTGCTCAATGGCCCTGAGTGCAGAGTATAGGTCTAAATTTGAAGCCTTTTACCGGCAAACGGTGACGTCTCCATATGAGTGAAAAATTCTCGAGAGGGACGTTAAACAATATACAATCAATCAGTCAATCAATCTTTGGATATCGTTATGAAATCGGTCTTTAATTTACAAAAGGAACGTGTAAGTTGTCAAATTTGTTTCCAATCCTTTTGTATATCTCAATAAATGCGTGTTCAAATCAAAACCATTAAGATTAGGTGCATCAAATTTTAAATTGTTAAATAAATTAGAGTTTAAACCGCTATTTCTTGTTAATCTTTAAACATTTGATTAATTTTTCCTGGCCCTCCGTTTCGTATTTTATATTTATGTTTAAATTATTGAAAAGAAATTTGTTTAGAATTATTTCTTAACTAAATGCGTTAACATACTTTTCAGTGAATCAGAATGTAACACCCACCCCCATCCAATGATATACGTTTATATATTTTAAAATATGGTTTGAGAAAAAATCTGCAATTTATATGCATGTATGAAGTTGATCAGGAATTAATTTTGACCGATCATTGCGTACTAACCGAATAACAAACCACAATATACATGAATCCAACAAGTAACACACTCAACAACTTCAAACCTAAACTTTACCGTTACCTTCCTTAGAAAGTTCATTCACACATTATGATTTATTTTAATCATGTCAAATAATAGTCGCAATAGAAAGTAAGAGAACAGAGAAAACATTCTAATATTCTACCATTATCGTAAACTTGGGGGGGGGGGGGGGCTGTGTCTCGACTATGGAATTCACGCTTAATTAATTACCTGAACTAATTAAACAAGAACAAGGCACACATGTACAATCTTAAGTTGTAACTTTTGTTACTTTTATAAAAAAAAATAATTAGTTGATGTAATTTATACAGTCATACGTTTTTTTAATAATTAAAACAAGAAAGCTCTATAAATGGGTTATTTGAACAAGCACGCAATATTCAAGTCGACCAACATGTATTTTTTATGTTCGATAAAATCCTTTACTTAAAAACATAGAGCGTTTTGGTAATTGTTTTTTTTTTTTTGTATATTTTGTGCACATTTAATTTGCAGCGTTCTAGTTTTGCTAATTTCGCACAAAACTCCCCATAGATGTACATGTACAGCAAAACTCGTTTAGTACGGATATTGCGAAATTACGGATATGGCGAAGTCGATTTGGATCCCCACCTAAATGAATTTAATTAATTTCTTATACGGATATTACGAATTACGGATATAGCGAAGTAATTTCATAGGTCCCAGTGACTTCGTTATAACCGAGTTTTACTGTATGTACATTTAGGCATGTACAATGCGACTTCGCAGGAAAAAATTATTGAAATTGTTTTAGTTTGTTCCATGTATATATTAAATTACGTTCAATTGGTGCAAACTTTAATAATTTGAAATGCATGAACATATTCATTTTATATTGCAATTCAACAGAAGGAAACAAGATTATCATTTTCCAAGGTAGATGTGAAATCATAAAATGTTGGTAGTAAAATCTTTGTCGGGAAAATAATTATAACAGGTTAAATAAATCCTTAATATTGAAGGTTAAAATAAAATCATTAAAATGAAAATTTATAACTCTAAAATGTTTAATGTAAACTTTCATTCTGTTCTCAGTTCAAAGGGCTGAATAAGCACCGGAGACTGCGTTCTAACATGCGGCAGCCCAATTCAGCGATTTTATAAATGTTCGACATTATGTTGTTTTCAGGAATCCAAAAACCTTTAAAGTCACCTCTGCACCCTATATTCTCTTCTTTTGTAGAAAAATCATGCACATAATAATAATAGGTTGGAATATTTTAAAAGTGTTCAAACAGTATGTATTACCGGTAATTTGTAACAATTTGTATTACATATAACATTTTAGCAATGTATCATGTTTGCCAGTTTCACATTCGATGTATTGTGTATACACTGTAACCTCAGCAAACGGATTATAAAAATTATATATAAACCGCAGCGTTAACTGCCCAACTCAGTTTATACCATATTAATTGGGTAGCTAAGAGAGGTAATTCAGGTCAATTTTCACTGCATCGCTATTTCCTAGTTTTATGCTCCTGTTTAATTTTTCTTGCATGTGCATCACGATGAAACAGCTGGAAATTAGCAGCTTAAATTAAAAAAACAACTATCTTTAATAACTTGTTTGTTTGACATTTTAAGATGAACCGACTAAAATCTTTTCAAAACCTCCGAATTAGTCTTTCCGGAATTTTCTTATCCAATCAATAACTATTTTTTTTAATTTCAGAAATACCTTCAATCTTATTCAACATTGAACATTTTCGACAAAAAAAAAAAATCGACCCTTGGTCACCTACCGACGCAATGATTTTTTAACTGAATAGAGAAAGGGCAAACAAATTTCATTTTAAAAACGGCCTTACGGGAATTTTTTAACCACCACTGGAAATCTTTAAAAAATATACACTTAATAATTGTGAAAAGGATAGGTCACACAGGCACTTGACAGAGAATAACTTCTTAAAGAATAAACTACATCAAACCACACCCAAGAATCTTTCTTAGCATATAAATAAAACAACATCCCTTTGTTCTGCTGAGGAGAGTTTTTCTGGATGAGGCGTTTTTACGTCGATTTTACGTTGTTGACTTTAGACGCGTCTTTTGACGTTACGTCATAATAGATATAAGGGAGGTTTTTGCTTGGCGCGTCACATATATTTTTCAATTGATTAAATTATATCATTATTTTAACTGCGTCATTTTTTTTTTATAATTCTACATTGTAATTGTACATTGTATTTTTTATTTAAAACCCGAGATATCCCAAGTACACTTTTATCAAACTATACGAGTAGTATTTTTTTTAAAGCATTTTACTAGCTCTGCAGGCATTTCACTTTTTCAGCAGTGCCAAGTTTTTTGATTTTATCGCAAAGTGAACAAAGAGAGATAACCCATACATGTACCTGTATAACCTTACATGAACGACACAAAAATGTTGTTTTCAAGTTTATTATCTAAATATATTACTATCAGAATAATAACATATACATACATGTATTTAAATATGAAACATGAATACGATACTTTTATAAAAGACAATGCTTAAACATTTGATTAATAAAATATTCATGTACATCATGTATAGTTAAAATTATTGATGTATAAATAAGTACCTGTAACATATAATATTATACATTATATAAGTAACAAAACTAAATGCTTCAGAAATGATATAATTCATTTGACACATGTTATAGAAAAAGGATATAATAAACAAGAATCCCTGCATGCTTTTAGAAATATACATTTTGAAATTGAGCATATTTCTTATCACAATATTTGACATTTTTATATTCTTAAAATTGTTTTTATATAATATACATGTAATAAAGATTACAATATTAAAATTATGTCTATGATAAAAAATATCAAATGAAATACTAGTATTTGGCAACATATTAATTGATACGTGTATAACATTATACATATGTACATAGAATTGTTCAGGTGAAATGTATCCCAATACCAAAAAATATAATAAATTCTTCATATTTAGAGTCTCAGCATATAAATATATGAAAACCAATAGTCAGACAAGAATTATAACCTCAATTCAAATTTTTACACTTCTTATACTACATGTAATTCATTTACCACAAAAAAAATTAAATGTATTCTTGATTGCTCAAAGACCCTTGAATCAATTCAAAAAAAAAAATCTTATAACATACATGTATCTCTTATTATCAATATATTTCACTTTTAGCTTCTGCTAAACATTGTATGTAATTGAAAGAGTAAAATGTGCAATAGCATTATAAAACAAATATAAAACCAATTCATTGTTTAAAGCTCATATCTAGCAAAAATTGATTATAGAATAATTAAATCAAAATAAATATTTTCCTATGCTTAACATGTTAAAGATATGGGTATTAAGAATAAGTTTACTGAATTTCTAATTCTACTGTGTATAACAAAATTCATTCTAACATGGACACCTGGAAGGGAAACTCTCTACAAAACTGAATACAATAAGCCTTAGCACCAATTTATGTACATGTACATCAATTTACACTATCTGAAATGTTCTATGACTTTCAACTTACGTATATGTAAGAAAAAATTAAGCAATTTTACAATGAAAATTGTGAGCAAATGGTAAACTAATGGCAAGCAAATGTCAAAATAACACTAAGAAATACATCTCTCTGTTTCTGGTATTCTAAACCCTGCCCCACCCCCCTAAAAGGGGGTGTCTGTTTCAGATACAGCAATCAATGAAATATTGGTTCAAAAATAATAAAATATTTCATTTAGGCCACACCAATAAAACTTTTTGTTCGTCGGACCCGCACGCTCGTATTTTAACAAAATTATACAAATAATGTTAATTTGAAATTCCCGCACCATAGGAATTCTGTGCTGTTTTCTGTTCCATTTCCACTCTATTTATTGTACCTTTTATCTACTTTTTCTGCAAATCAGAAATTATATAATTGTTTGTTAAAATTTTTTAACGCCCCGCCTAAAAAATCTGCCTACAAAAAAGTAATTACATGTATATTATTATTTAACCGCTAGCTCGATCTTACTTTTTTCATCAAATGTCCGACGAACAAGAAATTAAATTAGTGTGGCCTTAGGCCTCTTTAAAAATTGCTTGGTTGCCCTCTCCCATCGATCCACTAGTGTCTCAAAAATGGCCTGACTCCAATTCTGTTTTTACATTCAAGGACACAATTTTTTCCTCCTGTCTTGTACCATTAATAAATAAGTTAATTTTTTTAGAAAAAAATTTTTACACCTACCTAAATGACTCATTTTACTCTGAGTATGGAGATGGCTAGCAAACATTATTTTAAAAATGGCCTTTAATCAACACACATTGATCAAATTCATATATTGTTGATGTCTGAAGAAAATGCATCTTCATTTTCATTCACAATGACATCTTTAGAAATTTCTTTGTATATCAAAAGTCTCAACTTGTATATGAAGAACAAAAAAGCCTGCAAAATGGGCATAAAAACAAAGCCCAGAAGTAAAATAAAAACAGCTGTTTGACCTGGTTTAGACCAGTCCAATACACCACGATATATTGGATCTGTATTTCCAGCTGCATAGAATATAGCTGAAAAAATAAGGTACGCCAACCCATACATTAAAGTATATATGTAGTGGTACAGGCGATATGGTATAGCGGTGAGAAAGAGTTCAATTCCTGTGAGCACCGTGTTTATTCCATGAAGTTGCAGATTAAACAAGCCAATATTGGATGTGTTGAACATGGGCCAAAGGAAGACAAAGAAAACCACAGTGACAAGCAGAGACCCAACATTTGCCATGTTATATAGCACCCAGGTGAGCTTGAAGTACCACGGAAGAACCATCGAATCACTTCCTATCACAGGATCCATGGAGGTCGCGATAACCGAGTTATAGTCAGACGTATTGTAAAAGCTTCCAGAGGGATTCAGCTCGGAGAAAATTCTTCTGTGTAAACTCGGATCTGGACGACTGTTTAGAGGCATGGGGTTCTGAAGAAGGTAAGCCACAGTGACGAAAAAATGCCATGTCAGATACAAGCTCAACAAGAGGTATGTCCAGTTAGTCAAGTAAGCATACCATGGGTAAAGTACGAAGTCTGTACCATTCTTCGTTCCATTCTGTGTGGAAGCATTTCCTGGATCAATGTCGGTCATGTCTTCAGTACCAAAGCCAATGAAGGATGTTGACGTGTAGATTAGCCAGAAGTCTGCATACACAGCCATGACCATGCGGTACACCACATAGAGGATTGGGGGAAGCCGCCACTGGAAATGATATTTATATATGCACGATAAAATATTTTCTAGTTATACACAAAAGTACTGCCTGTGTTTTTCATCATCCGCTATGTATTGAAAATTTAGAAATATACAATTATTATTATATTATAAAAATATGTATATTTCATTTTCATTTTCAACTGGAGGTACATCACATGTATATTTGAAATAATATATCCATTGCCATAGAGCCTTTTTGATTTAATAATTTAACACAAAGACAAGGGGTGATCATAATATTTGAAGGAGCATGATATATACTGTTACTTTTCTTGAAGTTTAATAATTTAAGTCTAAAGGTGTAGGCTACAGATATTGGCCTACATAACTCTCTAGTATAGTGGTGTGGGGGTTCCCAGTTTTATTCCAGATATATACATTTTGTCCCTTTTCTGTAACATTTACATTAGCAACATTGCAAACTAATCTGAATCGTCAGCATCAGTGGTGGATCCAGGAATCCTGAAAGAAGGGGCAGTTTGGGGATGGGGTAAAAGCCCACAGGCACACCAAAAATTGATTAAATTCTACACAAATTTTGGGGCTGGGCACTCCTCCCAAACCACCAGTGATCATAGGAGATCAGCTGATCAGTGGGTGATAACAATCATTTCAAGTCTTTTATCAGTGAAAAAAAAGTTATGTGCAGATCAACATTCCTCAGTTCCTAAAGTCTGAGGCATTGATATCACGCAATGCATGCACTCTAGATTGCAAAGTTCGATTTCTAGGACACCAGCGTTAATTTTGTAATTATCACTAGGTGATGAACAGATAGATTAAAGCATTTATAACATAGGCGCTCCCATTGTAATTCTGTAAATGACGCAAGATAAGTATAATATAGGTCTACCCCTCTATCATGTCTATACTATAAAATCAATAGTAGACCTATAATCCTATATATAGATCTACTTATCTTTCGTCATTTACAGAATTACATGGGGAGCGCCTAGTATATGATTTATAACTGTCTTCTCCTTTATGGTCTCAAGACAACACGTGTAATTATAGCAAATAACGTGTTCCATCTTATAACCCGGAGCCTTGAAATTAACGAGACTTGATGACCATGATGACATAGATCCGAGTCTGATCTAAACTGAAGAAAGTAAATTAAGCATACCTGAAACATGACAAAACGAGCAGGATGGACGTCTGCAAATCCAAAATTCTTCAGTCGAAATTCTTTCCGACAATGCAAGCAGCAAACCGAGGAGCAAGCCATAACGGTGCCTGAAGTCTACTGACTTAGTCTGTACGAACGTCGTGAAATTGGGTCAATCATGAAGTGAAAGTAGCTCTTCTCTAATTTTCGACTTCAGTGATTACAACAATAAAAGTTAACTCTTCCCAAATTGAGTCGAAAACACGTTCACGAAATGTCTATTCTTCTACATGAAACACATTTAGCATTCATTTCATTCCATTTAAACCAATATGTTCAATTTGGAAAAATGAAAATGAGGAGGTTTAAGGAAAACAATGCAAACGTGATGCTCCTATATTCGAATTTTGGTTACATTTGGTTACCCATTTACTTACTCAGAGTATATAATAAAAACCGAAATTCGGATAGGCAACTTCATAAATACCGGTATATCAACAAGTTAATTGATGCAAAACATCAAATCGGCCGCTAACATATTTAACATGCATGTTAAAAAGTACTTTCCCAATTTAAAGCTTTCATGCAAGAAAAGAACAGGGTATTCCAAGCTGAAATAGTGATCATTTTTATTTCAGGCCATCTTTCCTAGCGGAGAGTAGCGTATCAGAAACCCTTGGGTAGCGAAGGTGATTTCAGGCCTTCATCAAAGCAAAATAAATAAATCAATATTTTTTTTTAAAATTGAAAGACATTTTAGTACCATGCCTGCTGTTCAATCCAATTCAATGAATAAAATATATTTTAAACTGGAAATTTTACTGCATTTGCTCATCCAATGGATTTATCGATGTAAAAAAAAAGCGAAGATGAAAATGCATGGGCGTCGGAAGCAAATCGATATCGAAAGGGGGGCTAATTGCAAGTGTGTGTGGGGGGGGGGGGGGGCTAAAACAAAAAAAAAATGGTAAAGCCCATTTTCAATGCTTATATAATGTATATATTTGCACCCCCACCCCCGGTTCCAACCCCTATGATATGAGAAATTATTATTATTAAAATGAATATGTATGCCTTTCAAGATATACATGTACCACGTGCTGATACCCTGGAGTTTTGTCACGTGATAATATGGTTTCTGCAGAGTAGGCTATGCTGCATGGCGCGGTGCAAAATGTATAAAAATAATCTTTGTGTCATTCGCAGCTGTAGGATTTACAAACAAGCAAGCAAAGTTGAGCAACTTTTAAATTTTTATTCACCATGCACTTTTTACCACGTGCAGGTCATTATTATCCGGAATATCATAACGATTTCCTTTCGTATCTTACACACTCCCTGGATGGGGAGTACCTGTTGTAAACTCTTAAAATTCTTATTTAACTATAAATTATCAATTATCTGATGCCAAATGATAATGAAATTGAAACAAAACAACAACGATTAAAACTTAATTTAAAGGAAGTTTTTAAAAATATTTTACTCGTGATTTTATACATGTTATCATTTGAGAATTATTTTATTGCGTGGACCCTGCGGTCCACGCAGTAAATATATAAGCGAGGCTAAACAGGATGCCATGGGCAAACGGCAGGCTACGCATGCGCGAATATGCTAGAGAGTTCGCACCTTAGGTAACTTGCCCGTAGAATAATTCGCCCTATTCGAATTAGAATCAATGCCATTTATTGGCAAATCGCGCATATTGCATTTATATATTTAGGGGCAGATCCGAATTTTTCTCTAAAACGTATACTTTTATTGATTCTACATGTTCTATGGCACAATTATTTCAAAAAGTAGGAAGAACTTGCGGTATATCAATACAATAAGTCATGTAACTTAATATGAAGAAAAACGTCAATCAAAGACTAGTTAAAGCTTTTAAAAGATAAAACAAGTTTTCACCGGCATTAATTTTGTGCATCAAGGCTCGCAAAATAATTTGATATTTCAATCATCCAATTACCGTCTAACAGAGGTCGGTAGCAACGGTTTTTAATGTTTGGGGTGGGGTGGGGGGGGAGGGGCTCTGACAAAAAAAATCTGAGTACGTCAGAGTTGTGCCACACGTGAACCATCAGATCTACTTTACCATGATAGATTTCTTCCGTATAAATCGGAGATAAAATTATACAATTTTGCTTTGAGACTACAATCCATTGGCGTCGGAAGCAAATTGAAAGGGGGGGGGCTAAGTTTTAAAAAAAACAACAACTATACCTTCAAAAAAAAAAAAACAGACAAGCAAAAATTAAACAACAAACAAACAAAAAAAGGGAAATCTCCTTTTCCCAAACACCTAAACCTACGCAGAATGTTCAATGTCTATACTAAGTTTATATTTGGAAAAAAAGGGGGGGGGGGGCCCCCCCCCCCCCCATCCCGGTTCCGACCCCTATGCAATCAGTCACAAGTTGGCAGATCATTATATTAAATGTGAACAAACCTACATAGACACTCCACCTAGATTTTTTTTATAACGAATTTCGGTTAGAAACACATGCATATGGTCCACGTATTGCAGTCCTTTTTAAAGGACAGCAACTTGTTGAACTAATAAAATAATAACATCTCATTTCCCCATGTGCACTTTCTAACACAACCACAAATAGATCGGCCGCTGCTGCGGCCGATAATAACGTATTAGAAACACTATAAGCTTCGCTTCGGTCAATATTTTTTTGGCGAATAACAAACTATATTCAACACCAAATGAACACATAATGGTGTGATAATTAGAGGTACTGTGAGTACTAATCATGAGTTCACTAAATGATCCCCTGCCTCCCATATATGTACATGTAATTATAATGGCAAAATCCTAGTTTTGCTCTGGAAAACCCGAAATAAGTGTCAGATCAAAAGAAAAATAGGCACACAATGTAGCATAATGTTATAAAGAACCTGACAAAATACCGATAAGAAATTGGTATACCCTTCAATATTATAAAAAGAATGACAGTATCCATGTTTAGCTACATGTATGGGCAACATAAAATATGTGTCCGATCAAAAAAAAATATAATAATGATAAAATATATAGGAGGTACAAAATGGTACTGTGAAAGTTTTAGTTAATTTCATTCAGTGTTATAAGAGTAATGTTCAGCTAGAGGAAAGGGCGTACAGGCAGACGGACGGACGTACAGCTATATGGATGGACTGACACACCGATCACTATATACCCTCCCATTTTTCAAGCGTGGGAGGGGGTATAATAACAAGGATCGTCACGACCGCCATATTGAACTGTTCTGTTCAGCTACTTCCTCTGGATTTTTAGTCTATGTGGTATGTTTGAAATTAACGAATACAACCGTTTCCCACAACTATACTCACTATCAATTACGATGCCTCAACTTTTGGGCAATTGATCTCTTGAAAATCACATATAATCCACTCTAGTTCATAAACCATCGCTTCAAACTCAGTCGTTCCAATCCCATTGCATTGGTATGTGGAAACCGGTCCTTCGGATGAGACCGTACAGTGTACATGTAAGCTGAGGTTCCATACATGTATGTTGCAGTAGGTGCTGCATGGCATGAAAAATCCCTCACTACTCAATGATACTGAGTGCCGAATATAGGTCATAATTTGGAGCTTTCCACCGGCAAGGTCCATATGTCCATATAAATGGGTGAAAGGATTCTCTAAAGAAACGTTGAATAACAATTATTCAATCAAACTTACTATACTATTTGAAACTGCCACCAATTCCGTAGAACCTGTTCCTATCTCTACTTTCTCTCTCCCATCCTCTTCCTTGGTCTCTCCAACTTTTTCCTTTTTCTCTTCCCTTCCTCTCTCTCCCTCTCTCTCATCATCTCCCTCCTTCTCATTCACCCTCTTCCCCTTCTTTTCTATCATCCTCTCCCTCTCTGTCATCATCCTCTACCTCCTTTTCTGTCTATCATCCTTTCCCTCCCTCTCTATCATCCTCTCTATCATCGTCTCTATCATCCTCTCTCTCCCTCTCCCCTCTGTCATCCCCTCCTCTTTCTATCATAATCTCCCTCTCCCTACCTCTCTATTATCCTCTCCCTCACTCTTCATCATCCTCTCCCTCCCTTTCTATCACCCTCTCCCTTCCTCTCTATCATCATCTCCCTTTCTGTCATCCACTCCCTTCCTCTCTATCATCCTTTCACTCCCTTTCTATAATCCTCTCCCTTTCTCTCTATGATCCTCACCCTTTCTCACTATTATCTTTTCCCTTTCTATCACCCTTTCCCTCCTCTGTATCATCCTCTCCCTCCCATTCTCTATCACCCTTTCCCTCCCGTTCTGTATCATCCTCTCCCTTTCTATCATTCTCTCCCTTTCTCACTATCATCCTCTCCCCTTCTATCATCCTTTCCCTCTCTCTCTATTATCATCTCCCTCCTTTTCTTTCTATCATCCTTCCCTCTCTTTCTCTCTATCATCCTCTCTCTCTGTATCACCCTTTCCCTCTCTCTCTATCATCCTCTTATTCCATCTCTATCATCCTCTCCCTCCCTCTTTATAATCCACTAACTTCCTCTGTAACATCCTCTCCCTCCCTCTTTGTCATCCTTTCCCTCCCATTCTCTATCATCCTCTCCCTTTCTATCAACCTCTCCCTTTCTCACTATCATCCTCTCACTTTCTATCATCTTCTCCCTCCCTCTGTATCATCCTCTCCCTCCTTTTCTTTCTATCATCCTTTTCTTCTCTTTCACTCTATCAACCTCTCACTATGTATCATCCTTTCCCTTTCTTTGTATCATCATCTCAATCCCTGTCTATCATCCTCTCCCTCTCTACCATCCTTACCTTTTCTCTCTATCATCCTCTTCTTCCCTCTCCCTCTTTATCATCTTCTCCCTCTCCCTCATTCTTTCCCTTTCTTTCTATCATCCTTTCAATCCCTGTCTATCATCCTTTCCCTGTTATAATTCTCTCCCTCTCTATCATCCTCTTCTTCCCTCTCTAACATCCTCTCCCTCATTCTTTCCCTTTCTTTCTATCATCTTTTCACTCCCTTTCTATCATCCTTTCCCTCCCTCTCTATCATCCTCTCCCTCCCTCTCCATCATCCTTTCTCCCCCTCTCTATCATCTTCTCCCTCTCCCTCCCTGTCTTTCATCCTCTCCCTCTCTACAATCCTATCCCTTTCTCTCTATCATCCTCTCCCTTTCTACCATC